GATTTAATCTGGAATTTCCCATTGTTTCCCAATAAATCAAAAGGCTTAATCATGTTGGCAGTATTCAGGAGGTGCAGCTCTTTAGTCTTATCTTTGTAGTAACAGAATTTATAATGTGTTTTGCGATCCTGTGACCCAAAACCATTATGACCAAATGAATTCCGAAAACAAACACCAGTACCTCCAGGAAATGCAAAATGATGCCTCCAATAGATAGACTAGGAATCCAAACATTTAGGGAAAGTGATTTGTAAAGAGTTATGAAAAAGGTATTGCCAATAAATTGACTATTATGAGAATTCTTTAAATATTAAAAATAAAAATCCAGTGTGGAAAGGGAACTTCATGAGGACAGTGGTGACACCCAAGCAGGAAAAGCCCAAAGGGAACATCACGCCAGCCATAAAACAAACTTGCATAGGAAAAGAGATTTAATAAAAGGTATTGAAAGAAGCCCCCTAGACAAAAGCCAAGTAATTAAGAAAGCTAGGGAAACAAGAAAAAGAAATCCCTTACAAACAACAGGTCATGCCAAATCAGCAAAACAAATAGACAAAAGACACGAAATAAATTCCATAGCAGACAGGAGATTGCCAAAAAACAAATATAAAACATTAGGACGAAACTGATAATCCAATCAAACCACCCCGCAGAGTTTACCCTCTGGCGGAAATGAAGACAACCCTTGACAGGATTTAAAACATTAAGAAATACAAACACAAGCACTCACACACAAAAGGAGAAAAAAAGTATAAAAATCAGGAGTTTATTATACAAAGATGGCTAGCCCCAGGAACGCAGACTTTTTGCTATCTCTTGCCTTCCTGAAAAATAAAAAGACCCAGCTTCCAAGCAGTCGTCTGTGTCCTTGCACCGGAGCTCTCCCAGCAGGAAAATCGAGCCCTCAGAAGAAAGGCATTTTCCAGCCTTTCAACACAGAAACCAGCCAGAGATTTACCTAGGGGCCTAAAGAATCCTTAAGGAAGATGTAGGATAAGCTCCTGTGTGCTTACTCACAGTGATGTTTGCTTGATATCCTGTAAACAGCCCTGCAGTTTATGCAACAATATGATTCAGCAAACCAAGGGTAATATCGCTAGCGAAGTTGGTCTCTCCTTGAAATACATTTTATTTGGATGCTGAGATTCTTCGTATTGTTGGAAGAAATATCCATCCAATATATTTTAATAGCAGCAAAGTACCTTCATTTTTAATCAGTTGGTGAACACTGATGCGCCCGCCTAAATCTGTGGCAAGCCTTTGTGATAGCTGGATAGGAAGTGCTGAAATAAATCATTAAACCAAACCTCGGAAAGAAAAATTATCTACCTTGGAAAGGGGTCGTTCTTCCTTCCCTGATTGGATACAGTGCGTTTAATTGACAGGTTGCCTTTTAAGAGTTTCCCGCAGATTGTCCCGCCCCGACCCCTTTAACCTTAATGCCACCAGCTTTAAAACGGGCATGCCAATACAAAAAGGGGAAAGTTCTATGGGGCGGCATAGCCGCCCAATGAGGAGACAACATGTGCAGCCTTGCTTGTTTACAGCCAATGGGGAAGCACAGCCTCAAATCTTTCGCGCTACCGCCTTTTTATCAGTTTTAGCCAAGCAGCAGGACCAAGGAATGAATGACAGTGCCGCCATCCAATTGTCAGTATTCGTGTACAAGAAGCGATAGGCAATCATATAAGTAAGATTTGAGAGACATTTTTGTTGCCCATTAGAAGGCAGGCTTTGACATAAACCCCGCCCTATCGGCTTGATTTTCGCGGAGTAGTAGGCGTACTACTTCATCTGCGCCTCTTCACCCAAAGGTAGCACGAGAGTGCTTTGAAGGACACCACCTCTTGACAAATGCATTCCTATTAATGACAGCTGCGGCTGCGCCGTCCCTCCCTCCCCGTTCCCCCTTGCGTCCACTTCCTTATTATCCAATCGAAACGGTAAGAGGCTTGAGGAGTGGGAGGATTAGCCAATGTAGCTCAGGAGAGGGCGGATCGAGCGAAAGTAGAAGGGGGAGGCTGCCGCCATCTTGGATGCCGCGGAGCCCGAGAGACGGGGGCGAGAGAAAGGGAAAAAGGAGTGGAGGGAGAGAGACCCGGAGACGCCGGTGAGACAGCGGGAGGGGGCGGGGCTTGCAGGTGCCTACGGGGCTCTGTAGGGGGCGGGGCCAAAGTGTTTGTTGGCGGGGGGTGGACGATGTTTAGGGCAGTGTTCTTTTAAGTGTTGGGGGGGTGGGGTGTCTCTGGCGTTGAAAGGGAGCTCCTCCGGGGGCCTCGAGTTTCACGTGGTGACGATTAATGGGGTCCTGGAGAAGGGGTTGGTGTTTTAAAGGTGAGCCCCTCAGCTGTAAGCATTGGAGTCCCTTAGGCCAAGGTAGAGCTGGTGTGGCAGCCTCGGGTGGAAAAGCGTGGGTTGGGATGCCGTGGGTTGCTCTAATCTTATTTACTGGTGATGCTGAAGGTGCCCATGGAGGATCTGGGGTCTATGCAAGAGGGAGCAGCGAAATCACTTAAAAGTTGCAACCAGGTCAGACGCTCTGCCTGGAAACAGGATGCTTTCAGAAGAATCCCTAACCCATTTTCAGTATTGCTTGGGGAGAGATGTAAGTCTGGGAAAGAAAGCTGTAGAAATGTTCTTCCCAGAGAGTACCCTTCCTTGGTTTGGGGTAGGCCCATTAGCCTGTCAGGGCAAAAATCCCTCCAACTACAAGAAACTCAGGTAGGTGTATCAGTGTATCAGTGGAGTTTCTCTTAAATACTTGGATAATACCGAATATGTAGACCTTTATTCCTTCCAGTGCATTCTGCCTTGGTGAAGATTTTAGTGGGCTTTGCCTCCATGCTTTACAGAGTCAAGAGCTAGAAACCTTTCTGGAATTTTTAAGATGCAGAATTCTGCACTCTGCCTGATTTCTGCATGTAAATAACAGTAGTATAGTCTTTGGATATCCCCTTGCCAGAAATGATTGTACTGATTGAAGGTTTATGAAGTTTGAACACATCTGGAGGATCCCAGACTTGTGGAGACCACCATAGTAAATATTGTAAATATGCCTTACAAAATTTATTTCAAAAGAAATAATGGGGAAAAGTCCCAACAGTGTAGTTATTTAAAAGTTAAAGCTATGTTGCCAAAAATATAACACTGGGCTGTTGTTTAGTTGATTTTAATCTAAGAAATTATCTCCCTCTTTGATAATCATTAATATTGAACATATCAACAGCGTGGTGCTATACAGACCCAATCCCTGCTACATTTGCTGAATCCTAGTTTCAAATGGACAGATTATTTCAGCAAACACATTTTCTTTTTATGTATTTATTTTAAACTCTGCTTACCTGTTCATATCCACCTGCAAAATTGTTCAAAACAAACCATGTTATGGTTTGTGAGAAAATTGTTCAAAACAAACTGTTTTGTGCTTAAAGAGAAGTAATAATCACTGTCAGTGTAGGAATTGTCTGGACCTTTTGGGTTTCTGTAACTTGGATGCTGTTGTTGCATAGAAAGACTTTTTCATATTATCACCAGCCAGATTTCTGATGTAAATTCATAACTAAAGGCCGCTTCAGGGATCAGAGTGGGTAGACAAGTTCATAATGCCCCAGCATCAGTCTCCACACCATCTGTCCTAACAGTGTTTGGTAGTTGTGGTAAGGTACAAAAGTCTGGAGGGATTTGAATTAGGGAAGGTTGAGTTAAAGCAGGGGTGTCCAACCTTTCACTTTTCCTGGGCCACATTAGAAGATGAAAATTTGGTTTGGGCCGCACATAAAATAAAATAACAGTAACGATACCCGATCATCCCCAAAAACCATAGAAAACATAGTTAACATATTAAATTTATTTGGAAATAAAGTTAGATGTTTTTATTATTTATTA